CATCTAGTCCGACCCCATTCTGCCGTTCAGGAACACACCATCAAAACACTCCCAACAGATGGCCATCCAGCCTCTACTTAAAAACCTCCATCAGACTGTCAGGCAGCTCGTTTAACTGTTGAACAGCTCTTACTGCCAGGAAGTTTCTCCTAATATTTAGGTAGAATCTCTTTTCTTGCAATTTAAATCGATTTCTCCTTGTCCTGGTCTCTAGAGCAGCGGAAAACAAGCTTGCCCACTCTTCAGTGGGACATCCTTTCAAATATTTAAACAACTAGTTCTGCTTTGGAAAAAGGGGCCAGGCTGACAAAGGAACTCCTGCCTAGTTTAATATATTCTTGACATAGGAAGCCCCTCCCCCCCCCAAAAAATCACACAACTCTTGACTACCTCCTGCAACACCTCCACAAAATATGTAAGAGGCAGACACTACAATTCAGACCATCACAGAAAAATAATATAATGTCACGTGAAATACACCTTTAAGTGTCACATATGCAGCCATAACCTGTGTTGCAAAGATGCATCAGGGACATGCATACAAATCAGTCCTCAAGCAGAAGTGATAGACTTGCCTGGAGCTACTCACTAAAATTCACAGCCAAGCAGGAGCCGACTCTGGGTATCTCATATTCATATCATAATGTCACACTTCTATTTCAGTAATGAAGAAAGTGGCCTAGTCAGTAGCTAGACGACACTTCTGGAAACAATTATCCTTCAGATACACCAAGGTTCATGCAATACTCAGTTGCTAACTACCTGGATACAGTCAATTCCATGACTAAAAGAACTCGACCCTGCCTTACCTTGGAAGGTAAGCAGGGTCAGCCTGTTTACCAGCCTGCAAAACCATCATTTGAGTATTCCTTGCCTAAGAAACTCATGGGTCATAGAATTAGAGTTCGAAGAGACCAAAAAAGGGCCATCCAGTCCAACCCCCTACCATAACTCAGCAAGTTACCTAAAGTTAACACACAGAATTAACCCCAAATGTCAAATCCTAATCATAACAATATTTCTGACACTAATATGCAAACTGCATAAATCATTTACCAATAGATATTTGAATTAACCTTGGACAAATCATATATCCTCTCAGTCTCAGGGGAAAGCAAAGTCAAAACCCCTACCAGGAAAACCTGGTGATAGGTTTGTCTTAAGAGTGCCATAAGTCAGAAACATCTTGAAAGCGCACAACCAAGCGTACCAGTAGCACTGAATACCGCAACCCTTGGGACTTTAATGTTTGCCATTATTATGGTACATGCTCTCCCTCCTGCTGCACCTGTTGTTGCTTCCCCATCTGTGAGCTACAAATAAGGAATTGTGGGGTGTTACATTCTTAAAACAACATATCATACATCTCTGCCTTTATGTACATGCTTGCTTATGCTGTTCTTTCCTTCCACAAAGAAGCCTGAGCCAAGGTACAGATTCTATTATGTTTGTTTTACTGCAGGGCTGGGCATGCAGCTCTCCAAGGAGTTGTTGTTGATGTTTTCGTAGCGTGTGACACTTCCGCAGAGCACCCTGTCTCTAGAAAAACAAAATATATATACTGCTTCTCTAAGAAGCCTCCAGATATGGTGACTCGCCTTTTAAACAGGCTGCAAGCATTTCTGCACTGTATAGTATTAAAAAAAAACAGCAACACTCATTTATTTTTCAAAACCAGAAGTGGGCTTTGGATGACTTTTTGTTTTGTTTTGGACATTCGTTGAAGTCCGAGCGGCTCCCAAAGGGTTCCAATGAAAGAAAATTCAATCCTCTGAAGCTGTTTACCTCATTTTATTCTACCTCTTCTCGGATTGACTCTAGAACAACTGACTAATTCTTTATACAGAGCACAGTGCATGGAAACAAAACAAAGCAAGAATAATTAAACAGTTGTAGTGACAAAAAACAATCTTATTTGCTTCCTCATAAACTTGAACCCAAGCCAATTCCCCAGACCTTGATGAAATGTATGGTCTTCATATTGCTGCTACCACTGCCATCACAGATCCGAAGTAGAAGTGAAGGCTCATATGATACACCAGTGACTCCAAGGTATTTGTTTTAAATATCATATGGATTATTTTTAGTGCTGTTCTATTCTGTTTATTACAAAGCTTTGTGAACTGCCAGGGAATTTGATTAAGTGGGTAGAGGCACAGAAACGCCATAATAAGAAAATTGCCCTTTTTTTCCGTGACCTTTAAAATAGTCAAGCCCAATGTTAAACCTTTTTATTTAGTAGTTAGTTCCACTATTCTCAGGTAACTGTGAGGGCTTAGATTTAGGATTTCTGCAAGCATAAGAATGCAACACCAAAACTTCTTTTTCTTCTTCTTCTTCTTCTTCTTCTTCTTGGAATTCATTTGATATTCTCAGCAACACTGTGCAACAGATTGTTCCTTTTAGTGGCTTGTTTACGAACAGGCTGCCCTTCCTTTTACAAGAACATTGGAAATCTCCCCTGTTGAGTTTATTTATGCCGTTTTGGCTGTGACCTTAGCTGTTTGCTCTGATTTTTTTTTTCCCTAAAGACCAAAAGGTTGAGCTTTTTGACCCGGAACTACTCCAAATAAAGAGTATGGGCCTTTATTTCAACAGGAGACCTACTCTCATGAATTATACACACAAATGAGCTCCATACATACATGCACAAATGCATGTTACCTACATATAATACAAGTCATAGAATCATAGAGTTGGAAGAGCCCTCATGGGCTATCCAATCCAACCCCCTGCCAAGAAGCAGGAATATTGCATTTAAAGTACTCCTGACAGATGGCGATCTAGCCCCTGTTTAAAAGCTTCCAAAGAAGAAGCCACCACCACACTCCAGGACAGAGAGTTCCACTGCTGAACGGCTCTCACAGTCAGGAAGTTCTTCCTCATGTTCAGATGGAATCTCCTTTCTTGTAGTTTGAAGCCATTGTTTCATGTCCTAGTCTCCAGGGAAGCAGAAAACAAGTTTGCTCCCTCCTCCCTGTGGCTTCCTTTCACATATTAATACATGGCTATCATATCTCCTCTCAGCCTTCTCTTTTTCAGGCTAAACATGCCCAGCTCCTTAAGCCGCTCCTCATAGGGCTTGTTCTCCAGACCCTTGATCATTTTAGTCGCCCTCCTTTGGACTATGTATGTAAACTCTACTCATACGTATAGCATTTATGCAAGGAAAGAGACAAAAGGTGGCAAATGGCCACATGGCTACGACCAGGGCAATAAAAATACCTTTAAAAAGGAAGTTCCCTCAATGAGATTCCATAGCTACATCTTCAAAGGGGGAGGAGACAGTGGCTAATAGGAGGAGGAAAGACAAAGCCCTTTTGGTAAACATGCATAGGAATGTGGGGGGGGGGGGATCCCTCAGCCTAATCCTATCTCTAGTCTAGCTACTCATTGAGGACTGGAGACTTGATGACACAAGAGACTTATGGAGTCCAGGGATGAAACCCAACACTTCCAAAGGCTCATACTGATTTGATTGAAATGCTTATAAAGTGGGTCTATATACTGTTAGCCGCCCCAAGTCCCCTCTGGGGAGATAGTGGCGGGGTATAAATGAAGTTGTTGTTGTTGTTATTATTATTATTATTATTATTATTATTATTATTATTATTATTATTATTATATAATCCTATTAAGGAGAAAGGAACTCCATATCTTATTTCAGTGGTGGGTTAAAATCATAGAATCCTAGAGTTAGAAGAGACCTCATGGGCCATCCAGTCCAACCCCAATCTGCCAAGAAGCAGGAAAAAATCACATTCAAAGCACCCCCGATAGATGGACATCCAGCCTCTGTTTAAATGCTTCCAAAGAAGAAGCCTCTACCACACTCTGCGGCAGAGAGTTCCGCTGCTGAATGGCTCTCACAGTCAGGAAGTTCTTCCTAATGTTCAGATGGAATATCCTTTCTTGTAGTTTGAAGCCATTGTTTCATTGCATCCTAGTTTCCAGGGCAGCAGAAAACAAGTTCGCTCCCTTCTCCCTATGACTTCCTCTCACATATTTATATATGGCTATCATGTCTCCTCTCAGTCTTCTCTTCTGAAGGCTAAACATGTCCAGCTCTTTGAGCAGCTCCTCATAGGGCTTGTTCTCCAGACCCTTGATCATTTTAGTCACCCTCCTCTGGACTAAGAATACAAACTTGAGAGAGTAATGTAAAGTGTTTGCCATGAGAATGTACAATTGTGAGTACCTATACCAGATTTATAGCTGCGTTTATGTGAATATGTTATACGCTCCTGTTAATTCATAATAATATTCTCAGATAACTTCACTTGAGGAAGACCAAGAGTCAAAACAAGTTGCGTGTTCCACATGCTCTTCGGTTCAACTGACTGATTTCACAAGGGGCAAGTCTATGTATAGTGCACACATTGTTTAGTTATATATTCATTTTGATGTATGGAGCATCAACATTACAAATGTAAATTTTACATTTATTGTATTTCATTCAATATAAGTTTATATTTTATACCATTTTATTGATCATTGACCAATGCATATTGTTGTACTTTTGGGTATATATTAGTTTGGTGTATAATCAGAAATCAATTTACCTGGATAAACCCACCTAAACCCACTTCTGATTCTGAAATCTCCAAATACTTTCTTCTTCCTAAAGTTTCATCTAATTAAGTGCTTTACTGCATGTCTATCTGGAGGAGTTTAGTGGCAGCGTTCTGTACCAATCCCTCCAAGCAGTTCCAAAACCTTCATTAGGCATTTTTTGCATTCTGTTCTGCCAAAGCATCTTGTTTATTTCTCAACAATGGAACTAGCCAGCTTTTCCATCAACTATTATGAAAGACATTTGAGACCTAAAAGGGTCATGACTTCATCTTCTCTCAGAATGGGCGGGCAGAGGAATGTTTGTTTCCGACTCCACTCCTGGCTCAAAGCTGAGCTACAATCAGCGTGTTTAAAAATTGTGTTATCCTGGCAAACACCAGACTCCAGTCACACTGCACACTCAGAAGAAAGGACTCCATACTTGCCTCTTTTTCAGTGTCTCTTGATATGCACATCCATTGGTTCTCCTTCACGCTGTATGCCCAGAAGTCCGCCAGGTCCTGTGTACCATCCCAGCCTCCAAACAAATACACCGTTTCTATCAAAATTTCAGGTGAAGAGGCATTAGTTTGTGAACCAACCAACTTGAAACAGAACTGCATTGTCAAAATGTCTACTTACAACAACTAAATACTTTCAAAACCTACCTCTTCTGAAGTATGATCAATGAGAAATATTGAGCAAGATTAGTGCATAAACCATGGCAGAGTCTTGTAATTAATTTTAATACAATTTCAACAAGATATAAAGTGTGCCTTTAATGATTTTGTAGATGTCTTTTATGCTAGAAGAACTTCATAAACATTCTTACACACACACCCAAAAGGAGAGATAATAGTGTGTGACAATAAAATAAAATGGAGATGTGACACCATATGTAATCAAGTCTTAGTCCCATACTTCTGTAATATATCTATGATTAAAACTAAATACAAAGAGACAGTCACTAATCTTATGAGCTTTCAGACTCTATCACAAAAAACATTTTGCAACTTCCACATCAACCTACACTTGAAAGTGTTTTTTAAATCTCTGACAAAAGATATTTAGAACTACATGTTCAAATCTCTTTGTATCAGAGGTTGGCGGATTGATTCTGCCTACATACATCCAAAGCTTTCCAATCATTTCCCTTGATTCCTAAACAATTTGGAAAGTCAATTTTCATAGAGAGAAAGGAAGAACTTGACTGAGCAAATGTGAAAACAAGGATAAAGGAAAGCAGCCACATTATATGGAGGAAATGTGGTCTGTACAGAAACTGTTGTAGTAGAGCCTGTGAGTAATGTTACAAACAGTGGTACAGGTGTCAGAAGGGGGGAAAGGGTTACTCGGGAGCAGGAATCTGATGATGAGCAGCAGAGAAAGAGGATCCGGGACATATTTACAGCACCTACAGATGAGAAGTCATTTGAGGGATTCTTTGGGGACGATGGGTCAATGAGTGAAGGAGAAGAAGGAGACACCATGGACTGGACTAAGATAAGAGAAGTGCAAGCTATTTGTGAGGAGCCAACAACTAGTGATACCTTTATGGGGTTCTCTGGGGGTGAAGATTGGCAATCAGGGGATCCAACTGAGTCTTGGGGGGACCTAAGTCTTGACAGGAGATGGAGGAATTGGAGGGAAGGACAAGGAAGTTCACGTGAAGAGCTGGGAGCAGCTGCGGGGGATAATGATGGGGCGGTGGTCAGTTCATCTTTTGATAATGATTTGTAAATAAAAGTGAGTTCAGGGGTGATGGGTCCATGCAGAAGGCAAGGTGTTGATGAGCGTTCATGTGTTGGGTGCTGTGTATTGGAAAAGATTCTTGTAGACTTGTTTCGTGTTCGGCGTTGGATCTGCAGTTTGCACCTCCTGATCGTTTGTGTGTTATTGACTTGGATTGGCTTCTCGTGAATGTGGACTTCCCCCTTCCTGGACCTGGACCGGTTTGGCTAAAGTCGCTGCTTCTGCAGACACTGGAGCAGCGCTGTTTCAGATTCCTCCTACTTCAAATCTGGACTTCACCTGACGACACTTCTCTTCCTGCGGCCCCTCCTTTTGTTAACCATTTGTGTACTGTGCCTTTGTTTTGCCTCAGAGCGCTTTGTTTGATTCACTTCTTTTGCATCCAGTTAATCTGGATTATATTTCTGTTAACCTTTTTGGACCAGGTCTCATTTGTTTCTTGAGTTTTGACCAGTGGCACTGCATTTAAGTACCTCTACGTCCTTTTTCTTTTGTTTTAATAAACTCTGTTTTGAAGCCACTTTTGAGTCTGGCCCTTTAAGGTGTCTGTGATTCCAACAGAAACATTAGTGGAAGTGTGAAATCAAGTGTTAAGTGTCTACTTCCTAATTTCTCCTTCACTTCAACATAACTGATATTTTGTTGTTTGCCTTCAGAGCGGTGTTCATACAATCATTCAGCTGAAAAGCAACAAAAATGTCAGTTATGCAGAAGTAATGGAGAAATTAGTCAATGGATACCTCGAATGTGCAATACCACTAACATCCTCATCTTTAGATCAAGCAAATAGTATGGGAAGAGTGAAATGTGTAATGAGATAACAACATACAAAATAATCTGGAAGAAACATACAAAATAATCTAGAAGGAACAAAGAAGAAGAGGGATCAAGATGGTCAGCAGAAGCACCAACCACATGTACATTTCTACTATAGCTTCTTCAACAACTGCTCCAAGCTTTCTCCTTCCTAAATATAACAATTCCTCTTCAGGTACAAATATTTATATCACTTTGTAACAGCAGAACATTAAAATCATTAAACAAAACCTGCACAGTTGAGTTGGCCATTATTGTTTACTGTTATTTTTCTAATAACCACAATTAGCAGTCAGAATTTCAGCTAGTGCTAGAAATGTTGCTGTTATAAATAAAACAAGCCAGCAGTGAGCATTATATTAGCCATGTTGAACCTTTGTCAAGAAAATTAGACTTTAGAGGATGGCTTTCATTTCTATTTTGAGGGAGGACTCAAAACTAATGGTAGGAGATAGACCAAGGTCCATGGGAGGCTAACACTGGAAGCTATCTATTACTGCATGGTTTGTTTCTAAATGTGTTTTCTGAGAAATACTGGAAACTGGAGAATTTTCTCTTTGCTGGCAACCAACCACAGTAGACCAAGTTCTTAGAAGAACACTTGTCTCCAAAAATGAATTTCTTAATCAATGAACAGACACAAAAGAGTGTCAAGTGAGTCCTGGACAAAATCAGTTCAGAAGGGGAAACTGAACCATGACTGTAAACAGAGAGTAATCAAAAATGATGCTAAGTAAAAACCAAACCAGAAGTCTTAAATTCCTAAAGATGATGCTGCAGCAATAGAAGGATCTGAAGATTGAGGCAAGAACGGAACTATACAGTAAGAGTCTCAAATATTCCAAATTAGTCATGGTTCAGGCACAGATAACACATGTGTAAGTCACAGAGAGCATGAAAAAGAAACTAAATGGGTTCACTAATAAATAGCTACAAGATAGTGTCAAGTGTATCCTGGACAATCTCAGGTTGGGATAATAGAATCACAGAATCCTTGAGTTGGAAGAAACCTTGTGGGCCATCCAGTCCAACCCCCTGCCAAGAAGCAGGAAAATTGCATTCAAAGCACCCAGACAGATGGCCATCCAGCCTCTGCTTAAAAGCCTCCAAAGAAAGACCCTTCACCTTCACCGGGGCAGAGAGTTCCACTGCTAAACAGCTCTCACAGTTAGGAAGTTCTTTCTCAAGTTCAGGTGAAATCTCCTCTCCTGTAATTTGAAGCCATTGTTCCATTGCATCCTAGCCTCCAGGGAAGCAGAAACCAAGCTTGCTCCCTCCTTCCTATGACTTCCCCTCACATATTTATACATGGCCATCATGTCTCCTCTCAGCCTTTTCTTCTGTAAGCCCAGCTCTTTAAACCACTCCTCATAGGACTTGTCCTCCAGACCCTTGAGGAGAGGTGAACCATGGTCATTGTTAAAAAAAAAAAGGCTTCATAATCCCCTGGCATACACAAAGGTTCCTCAGCAGACAAGGTGATCTGGAAACAACTTCCTAACAGAAGTTTGAAAAGTGCTGCTGTAGATCTCACCATCAACCAACAAAAAAGCCTAGCACAGGAAAGCCTCCATCCTGGGTTTATTCACTGAAATATATTAATGCACTAGTCTACAGACATCCACCCATGTTGCCAAATGATGCAATAATGCTTCCTTTTGAGGGAGAGGCACAGAGAGAGGGGGACTGACCTCGGTTTGCCGTAGCTGGTGGCTTGTCCCTGGTGCTTCCACCAAAAGGTTACCTTGGGTCATTAACTCTAATTACCCTTCCTTTCTGAAAGCACAGGGCGGGCAATGTTCCTTGCAAACAGCAAGTCCTTTTGTGTCCCTAAGTTCTCACAGCTCACAAAACCCACATTTGCCACAATGGCCCAATTGATAACCAAGGAAAAAGCACAAGAGATTTGGCACAAGCCACATGCCCTACTAGGCCTCAGACAAAACATCATGCGAAGCCCAGAGAGGCTGCGTCAAGAGCAAAAAGGGAATTAAGCTAATGGAGTCTAGCTGAAAGAAACATCCACAAGCAACTAAGGGAAGTGGAAGGCTACTACCATGAACCAAACTCTTCAAGGGCAAAGGACACAAAGAACATCTGCGTTGTTATGATTTCTCCAGCTGTACTGCAGCTCAAAGGTTGCTTCCATTCTGTCATCCATCTTGTATGGCAGAATGAGTAATGTTTGCCTTTTTACTTCGTGTTCCTTAACTGATGGGCAACATTTATTTTCTTATACTATGCTATAAATAACAAATGTTATTTTTTGTTCAGCAACTGAACTTAAGAATTACAGAGCAAACGCTGCCTCTGAAATGAAGTATTCTGAACTGACTGCTTTTTCATGCATTTCTTGCCCTGGTCAAATTCCAGAATTTAAAATGGGCAGATGGGGGGGGGGGGGGTTGAGGGTTTCACATTTTATTGGATGGAAACACTATCATCTAAATGAATGGATACCATCTCTAATGGTTATGTTGTCAAGGGATGGCGGGAGTTCCAGCCCAACAACATCTATTCTAAAGTCAGCATTTTTTTTTAAAAAAAAAAAGAGTCCCACTATCATTAAAAGTTCCAAACCTGGTTGTTCATATTTCCAGTGAAAGATCAAAGAGTGTCTCCCACAGGTTTCACCCATCACTGAGCTGAATTTTGATTAGAACATTCTTCCTAAAGTTTGGCATCAAGTTGTTTATTTCATGTCAAGCTTGTTGCACCAGTTCAATATTGTGACTGCTGGTGCTTCCTTTGCTGAGCCTTTTCAAATTATTAAAATATTCCTCAGGATTCCTCTGAATCTATATGTTATTTTCCTCACTAGGACTCATGGAAGAACGAAGGAGGCATTTTGACTGGCCAGTACAAGTTTCTGACCCACTCAAGAGCCAGGCAGACCAGGCTCAGGTAATTATCCTCTTATCAGATCTGTTTTATGGAACTCAACCATCTACCGAAATTCTAGGTCTCATCTTCCTCTCCACATCCTGAAAC